CAATTAAAATATCTAAACTCTATTGTTATAGTTACATGCCTGAATTTGGGTTATTGCGGATTGGGTACTATATGTATTCTATGACTTTTAAGCAAAACTTTTATTTTTAGCTAATCTAAGCATGACTCCCAAATATCCAGAATCTCCTTTTCTTTTAACTTGTATCTTAGGTATATTTTTTAACATTAGCATTAATACAAATATTTAACTGTAATGGTTTGTTGTAACATAAACAATGGGCCATCTGCCCTTAAAGCCATCCATTGGCTATAGTCAGAGTGACTGCAAGTGATTTCCTCTTCGTTTTACATCCATTTCTAAAAAAAGATTTGCAGACCTGAATTCCATCTGGCAGCTCTATTGCTATCTGGTTGCACCCATGTTCCGACCCCAAAAGAGTCCAACTGAATTTTAAACTAATATATTTATTCTTTTTACAAACTTTAAAAGCACGAAAGAATTAGAGGAGAACTACAACACACGTACAGGATAATTCAATGTTTATACACAACAAAACAATTATCACACAGTCTGGGTAAAACCTAAATTTTGTACCATTCTAAAGTGCAGACGTAGACATCAAGTCCCCATCAATAACTAGGTTCTTCCACCTTTTCAAATGGAAGCCAGCCCATCTTACACCCAGCTCCATTGTCTGTTCTAATCACAATACTTTTCCCTGAGTGCTGGCTCTCTCTACCCAGCCCCAGTCTACAATAGTGTATTTCTGTACATTCCAATGTAATTCAATTGCTCTCCAAAGAACATAACTCTGAAATTTATCATCACCACCTGGCTGTTCAGTGATCCATGTTAAAAGAAGTAGTAGTCTTAGCTCAATTCTTAGTGGGACAGTGATCATTATCACAGAAGCTGGCAGCCCACGTGTCAGACAACATCACTGACTCCAGTAGGATTGGGAATGAATTACTCCCCCACACTTCACTGTGGGCAAGTGTAAACCAGACAGGTTAAAGTGGGCAAGCCTACATTGCTACAAGCCATGTCTACCCATTCCATGGGGAACCTAAAGGAATCCAACCTCTATAGCTATGCGTCTGGTACTTTTCCCAGAGATAAATTTCATTTTAAAATCTTCTAGGTTTATCCTTATGTTTCATCCTTTATGTTCCTATTCATAGCTCTTACAGTGTTGGCAGTAGGCACGTTGACTAAAGTACTGCATATGCTTTGTGAAAAAATTGTGGAGCATGAAATAAATAAATGGAATTATCACTAGCATAAAAGTAGTGTAAGGGGTTGAGCTTTGTCCACAGTGTCTAACTCCAAAGCCTCAGCATTTCAAGTTTGATTTAGAGTGTTGAGCTGTCATTATGGAGTTTACAAGGGGAAAAGTGTGAATAAGGATTGAGATTTTCCTTCTATAAATTATTGAGGGACGTGGGGTCTGTGACGGATCTCATTTAAAAACCTTATTGAAGTAGCCGTGGTGAATGATGGTGCCATTGCTTGTCTCATTGTCATAATTTAAGGCCTTTTTTAATTACAAGAAACCACAGAAGTCAGAGTTCAGTACAACAGATCCAGCATAAGATGGAAACTCAGAGAAGTGAGAAAAAAATAAAACCAATAGACGTGGACTGACAAAGATGTTTTATTTATTTGTTAATAGTAGTTAAAATGAGATACAAAATGCTGGGGTAGGGAAGACTCCACTTTTATTTCATTGCAAAATAATTACAGTATCATTTTTAAACCAAGTTTTGCTTCATGAGACTGAGACTGAAAATACTACAGCCTTATGTTATAGTGTCAGTGGGGGGAGAGATTTAAATACACATTGTGGTAGATATTACATGTCTTGTGTAATTGCAGAACTTTTAATTACCAAGCAATAACTAGCAATTCATAAAAGTCTGTGGTATGGTATTTACATTTGCTTTTGTCTAAAAGGGGGGAGGGAGTTCCTTTATGATCTTTACATAGAAAACTGACTGTTACTTTATGCACCTCTTAAAAGCTTTAAAATTTTTGCTTCAAAAAGTGTTAACTTCTAAGGAACATTAAATAAAGGAGCCAAAACCATTTAACACTTTGCCTGCTGGCTACAAAGTGTAGGGGCTTAAGCCCAGACCCTCAAAAATATTTAGATATCTGTGAGGATATAATCCTTAGCAACCTTGAGCAAAATCATGGCCCTTTTAATGTCAATAGAGTTTTGTCATTGACTTCAATGCGGGGCGTGGGCAGAATTTCACCCCCAGCTGTGCATCTGCTCACTGGATAGAAACAGTAACTAGTTTAAAGCTTTCAGACAAGTTTCAGAATTATTTTTTGTTTTCTCCTAAATACCAGCTGGGAAGAAGTCATTTAAAGGAAAAACAAGCCCCCTGTCATATCAATGAAAAAAACTTTGTATTAATAATAGCATTAAATATCCATATCTTTGTAACTATTCACATTCCACACAGTGGAAATTTTCCGCCTGTAACTCCAGATTTTAGTTTTTAAAATCTACAAAGAAATTCTCAGAACCTCTAAATCAGAAGATGCCAGATCCTATGTGTACATTCTAATATTATGAATCACTGACCTGCAATATTAGTGTTACAGATGGAGACGCTGTGGATCTTACAGTAAAAATAGATTAAACGCAGAAATGTAGGCTATGACCAATAACTGTGTGGCACAGTGTATAAGAGCTTTGGCTTTTAACTAAATGACAACACAATCCTGAATCTGTGATATGCCAATGCTGTTATTACCCTTTGGGGGCAAAGAGAAGTGGTACCTTCCTTAACTGGGATGCTCTGATTCGGCAACATCCATGGTCCAGCAGGACCACAGATGTTCCTGGACCACAGAGCCCAGGTATAGGGAGGTCTGGCCGCAGGGCAGGAGCATAGCGGGGGGGGGGGGGGGGAGCAACCCATTTGGGGTCCCCATGGGGAGAGGGGCAGGGGGTAT